TCTTGAATTTCCCCTAGTGTGACATACACATTTTCTCTCTAGGTATCTTCTCCTCTCTATTTTATCCACCACCTCTTCAATAACTACAGAATTAAATGTAAATTACTCCCTATAAAATCGTTATTGTTCAGACAAATCATAATTTTTATTGCCTTCAATTTTGTTTGGTTACAGAGCTATCAAATAGAAAATCAGACCCCCCTCCTGTCACATCCTCTCTTTCAGAATTCGTTGATAGTTTACTCTTACGTTTCATTATATATTACCTATAATCAATAGAAAGTCAAGGTTTTCATCTGCCAAATGATGTATTGTATAATGTTCTGAATGGTTAAATGGTTAACATGAAAATTACTTTGCACACAGACTATTCAAAACAAATACTCAATATATTTTAGTTTATTAAAAATACTTCACTAAAAAATATGATTTTCTGTATATGAAAGACTTGTAATATTAACTGAAAGACTTCCAAATTTTGTGAAGACATACACACTATGTTGAAAGTTAGAAGTATTAAAGACTTTAAACGAGTTCAAAGAGGTCACGTGGTCGGTCAAATTGACCGAGCCTATGTTGAGAGAGTTAATCGTTTCACTGTCTACATGTTATAGAATCATGTAGGTGTTTGGAATTTTGTACTGCCATTACAAAGGTTCTCAAAGTTTATCAGTTTCAACTTTTAAGTATTAACACTTTTGTTTGTGTTTATCTAAAAAGTAAATTGGTACTGGATGAATTGTTTATTTATAAATGTGGCAGTAAAAAAAAAAAATGTAACTGATAATTATTAAACAGTTTCCCAATTTATTTTGTATCAGAAATTGACTGGAAATTGGTGAAGTAATCCCTGTCCAATATTGAATAATGTTTTAGCTTTTGTTTTATTTCACTTTGATTTTAAACACCCGCCATTAGGGCAATGTAATTTTATTAGTTATGGTCTGTTGTCTACTAAGAAATACTATAAGGTGTATTTTAAAATGTCTGAAAGATGCGTCTTCCCGAAAGGTTGATAGCAGAATAAAAAATAATGTTTGGCTGGAACAAACCGTTGGTGATCGTTGGAGCCTCAGTGATCACAACCATGAGCCGGACAAGGAAGACATGGTGCTTTGCAAGTTGTTGACAGGCGCTAGCCATGGGCGGAACAAAACAGCTTGAGATTATTGTGGATTATGGCGTACAATGATTACTGAGTGTGATATAATAAATGCGTTATTTTCATTGTTTAAATATAGTACTTAATATAAATCTTCATTATTCTTTTGTACCTCTTTTGGGATTACTTAGGAGATGCCATAACATTTTGTAGTAAAGGAATAAATGCATGAATCACTTTAAAAATGTATTTTTTAATTTTTAAAACAATAATTGTCATTTCTCATTTTTTCAGATGTCTGACACAGCTTGTCAGAACATTCCTTGTGCATTTCATCATTGCTTCTGTGTTTTAGCTGCAAGAATGTTTTCTTTCTGTGGTTTTTAAGATATGTTGTTATAAAGTTTCCAGTGTAAACTTATCGATAAATAAGCGTAAAAAAAAAAATAACGTCAAGTCAAGGCTGTTAGTAATTGTAACTGTATTTAGTTAATAGCAGGAGTTGTCAATCTTATGCAACATGTGGAATCTTAATCAGTAGTAACTTTGGTTCGTATGAAGCATAAGTAAACAGTGTATTAGGTTATAATCTTTGGCAATGCAAATCATAAAATAAAAAAAGTTAATTTTTAATTGTATAAGATCTAGCTGTATACTAAATCATCTCTTAATTGGTTTGGAGATTTTGTTGAAAATTGTTAGTACAAATTCAGAAACATTAAAATAATAATAAGCCATAGAAATGTTTGAACATTTATACACCATATTACTAGTTAATATAAATATTATATTGTTGACAAGACCCTATAATTTAAGGGCTTTCAGAAGCTGGATCTTTTTTTTTCATAAGGGGCAAACTGATGATGAAAAGGTCCACCTTTCGAAAGCGTTCGAGTTATAGAATCTTGTGTTTCTGTTGTAAGTTGATTTTATGAATGTGTTTTCTATTATGTCATCTATATTTTCCCCATCCTGCAAAGAAGTGTTGAAAAGGAAATGTTTTCTTCGTACGTGACATTGATTCTTTTTTTTAAATAAGATTGCACATTTGAAACAAGTTTATATTCAACATAAAGTTTGAATTGGTAAATGTCAAAGCATGAGGCATCCCATTTAAATCATAGTTTTGTGATGGTTGGTGACTTCCAACGAAAGGAAGTTACCTTCGTATATCAGAAATAATAGTTGACTTAAAACTATTGAAATGAACTGAATATACCAGTTTGACTAGGAGTATGCATTGTCATAAAACCAAAGCTTTTGATGGTCAGAATGTATTAATTTATCAGTTGGCTGCCCTTGATATTAAGGAATACCTTATTTTAGAAAACTTGGTTACTTTTATTTTGAAAGAGAAAGCATGATGGACCCAGTGTTTTCCATTTTTGATGTAAAATTATATTGTCCATGATTTGAACTTTTACTAAATTACAGGCAAGCTTCGTAAGAGACTTTCTGAAGTTATTAGGCAAGAAAAAGTAGAAATAACAGAAGAGGAAGAAATTATTAAAATTAACGAGTTAGAATTGTTTGGTAATTTAATCCTTTGGATGCCATCTTTGGGTTTAAACGACGCGACATTTATAACGATTTTGGTGCATCAAGTGGATTTACCCCACAGTGTCACAAAAACTTTTCATCGTTGTTCAACAGTCGGGATTCTCCTTAAATTTCCTGCCTTAGAACTGTGCATGCGTACATCACTGAGCAAAAGTGAAACGATTGGATTTTGATATTGAAAAAGTTCTAAAAAAAAAAGTCTGATTCTAAATTTCACTTTTTAGTGGATAATTGACACTTTTCGAAAACCCACTCGAAATTTAAATATACACTCAAAGGGTTAAAAGCATTTCTTAAAATAGTTACTGCCTTATAACATTCTATCTGTCTTAATCAGGACTATGAATTAGCTAACACTAAACTGTGATGAAATCATTATTAAACAGTGTATTAAAAATAAAAGATCATTCCACATAATATGTGTTCTTAATTATTAATTTAAGTAACTTATTTATATATATTTCACTGGCAAGGAGAGAGTTATACAAGTGTAGTTATTATCAGCTTGATATTTGTGTACATATATCATTATATTGTAAAGCAGTGTGCTTGAAGTTTACCCTCTTGTAATATCTATTTGTTTTAATGTAGTGTTCCTAAGATTTAAATGAAAGAACAAAGTTTTTCTTAGTTAACAACTAAGCTTGTTATAATTAGTAGATATTTGTTTTCTCATGATACTATGCATGTTATGAAAGCAAACGGTTTGTGTGTATGTTTATATACGTTGTTGTATTTATTTATTTTTTGTACTTTTATAGGAGGACAACAAACCAAGAGGATTTGATAGAGGTCTTGACCCTGAACGAATAATTGGAGCAACTGATTCTAGTGGAGAACTCATGTTTCTGATAAAATGGTATATCAAAAAATATACTAACATCAGTAGTTGTCTTCGTAACGTCCTTCGTGATTTAAATAAAATGTGTGAGAGAATTTTAAATACGGCAATACAAGAATTTACATTTGTTTCAAGTTTTTTTAGAGAAAAAAAAATATACAGTGATGCCAGACTAAGATAATCAATGAAAAACATCAAATATCGAGTGGTGCAAAAACACGGTAAAAGAAAACACTTTAAGGAAAATGGTGTGAGTACCCTACATTAATTATTGAGTTTGGGGGAACTTAGAAATGGGGGAGAAAAAGAATCTTGTATAATTACTTTTCTTTCTTTCTTTTCTCTCTCTCTTTTTTTTTTTAATAGAAAGAAGATTTAAGATTATATGAACATACCTATGTAAAAACATCAATAAAAGTTAGATACATCCTCTCTGACTTAGAAGTCGTACTGTTCTGACACTTGGTTTTATGGATGAAATATCTTTGTAAAAATACTGGCATTACGTTTGATAGATTTGACACAAAAGGCTTATTGCTAAAATAAAATAATTACAAATATTTATAAGTTAATTGTAATAGCCATAAAGCAGTTGATAAGAAGCTTTGTTTAGAAGATGAGTAAATAGTAAAATAAATTTTCTGTTTTATATATAAACGGAGAGAAACCAGTTTCTAAAATGCTTATTACACGTTATAAAGATGTATGATTGATTGTACTTAATATGTGTATTTTTTTTTTTTAAGTAACTTGCAGCTGAATCTGAATTCAGAGAATGCAAAACTTCAAATAGAAACATCTTGGAAGTAGTTTCATCCTATTATTACCTCCGCCATCAATGGTGGACATAGGTTACGTCTTCACCCCCTGTGTGTGTGTTTGTCAGTAAGATTTCTTGTTTGTTTGTTTTTGTTTTTTGAATTTTGTGCAAAGCTACACGAGGGCTATCTGCGCTAGCCATCCCTAATTTAACAGTGTAAGACTAGAGGGAAGGCAGCTAGTCATCACCACCCACCGCTAACTCATGGGCTACTCTTTTACCAATGAATAGTGTGATTGACTGTCACATTATAATGCCCCCACGGCTGAAAGGGCGAGCATGTTTGGTGGGACGGAGAATCGAACCCGCGACCCTCAGATTGCGAGTCGAGTGCCCTTACCACCTGGCCATGTCGGGCCTTAAGATTTCTTGAAAACGGCCAAATGGATTTAGACAAAAGTTGGTATACATTTGGACTATGATCCAACTTAGAAGTGATTAATTTTTGGAGGGTCAAAGTCATGAAAAAAAATCCCTTTCTGTTAACATGAGGTCTTATTTTTCACACTATTTTTGTTCTATAACTCAGTCAAAAATTATCGGATTGTGATGAAATTTGGTGGACATAAGTAGAATATTATTCCTCGTTGTCCTGCAAAAATGTTCCTTGTCCGATGATAACTGAACATATGAACACATTTTCGTATTTTTTGAGAGCTAAATATGATCAACACTGTGCAGTGGAGGCAGGCAATCTACTGAGTGCCCTCTAGTTTCCAAAAATTTTATTAGAACATAAACTAATTATAAATTCCTTTGTATCTACATTTATAAATTATTTGTCTTTTTTTTTCAGAGAGTTTTATTCACACAATCATATTAACATCGTGCATGATAATAAAGAATAGCATGCTTACTGTATCTCGGATCTATATTTGGCTCTCAAAAAATACGAAAATGTGTTCATATGTTCAGTTATTATCGGA